TATTTGACCTATCAAAAAAATAAAAACATAAATAAAATAAATAAATAAACAAATAAATATATATATATATATATATATATATATATATATATATATATATATATATATATATATATATATAATAGATTTAACAATACAATACTTTAATAATAAACTATTAAATTTTTTTTAAATATTGTGTAAAAATAAGCAAGCTCTAATTGTATCCATACAAATGTTTTAACCCTCTATTCGTGTTCACATCCCACCCCTTGTTTATTGTTCCTAGTCAAAATTGACCGGTCTGTCTAACTGCTCTTTAATTAGCTCAAAAAACATTTTTCATCGCCAAACTTTTATTCAACATTCTTTAGCTGTGAACAAAGTAGTGTTTAACATTATTTAACATGATTTGTTAATCCCCTATTAACGGTAGGGTTTAGGGTTGGCGTTTGGCCTCCTCTTTAAAATTAACTGAATTCATACGAATTAGCCGAATTTAAAGAAACTGACAAAACAAGAGTTATATTTCCTTGTGAGATCAGGCTGGAGGATCAGAACAAAAGCACGGAAAAGAGATGTGTTCCTGCAAAAGATATTGTTCAGTCAGAAACGAGTGGCTGACTTGGGGTGGTGTGTATGGGCATGTTTTCTGTCTGATGGATGAATCATTTCCTATGGTGGTCACTTTTGACCAGGAACACCAGGTGTAACAAGGTTGATTAAGGTCGAAATTATTAGCCCCTTTAAGCTATATTTTTTTCGATAGTCTACAAAACAAACCACTGTTATACAATAACTTGCCTAATTACCCTAACCTGCTTAGTTAACTTAACCTTGTAAAACCTTAAAATGTCACTAAGCTGTATAGAAGTGTCTTGAAAAATATCTAGTAGAATATTATATAGTCATCATGGCAAAGATAAAATAAATCAGTTATTAGAAAGGAGTTATTAAAACTATTATGTTTAGAAATGTGCTGAAAAAATTCTCTCCGTTAAACAACAATTGGGAAATAAAATAAATGGGGGCTAATAATTTTGACTGTATATGCAGCACAGTGGCGCCATGGGTAGCATGATTGCCTCACAGCAAGGTGGTCGCTAGTTCGAGCCCCGGCTGGGTTAGTTGGCATTTCTGTGTGGAGTTTGCATGTTTTTCCTGTATTCGTGTGGGTTTCCTCCATGTGTTCATGGCTTCCCCACAAGTCCAAAAGCATGTGGTATAGGTGAATTGGGCTTAAGCTTAATTGTCTGCAGTGTATACGTGTGAATGAGTGTGTATGGATGTTTCCCAGTGATGGGTTGCAGCTGGAAGGGCATCCGCTGCGCAAGAAAACATATGCTGGATAAGTTGGAGATTCATTCTGCTGTGGAGACCCCAAATTAATAAAGGAACTAAGCTGCAAAGAAAATGAATATAAAATTGTTCCTATATCGTGCAGCCCTAGTTTGAAATCACCTGATGGTGAGTAATGTAAATGCTTTATTCTGTTGATTATTATGAAGATGTATTTAGAATTTAATATACAATTGTGTCATAGAGGATTGTTTTATTTTGTAAATATTATTTTATACATAAAATAACAAAATAAAAGTCTGTTTTCAGATGTTTATACTAATTTTAGACATTTATTTTTACATTTCAGGACAGTTAAGAAATCTAAATTTTCAATCACAACATATATATATATATATATATATATATATATATATATATATATATATATATACACATATATATATATATATATATATATATATATATATATATATATATATATATATATATACATATATATATATATACACACACACACACACACACACACACATACATACATATATATATACATACAACCAAAAAAATTTTATATATATATATATATATATATATATATATATATATATATATATATATATATATATATATATATATATTACTCAAAAAAATACAAAGCAAATAAAACGAAATTCTCCCATAGTAGTACCTACATAATATGCAAATAACATAAAATTTAAAGTCTCAAATCCAGCCGAGTGCATAGGCCTACTGTCCACAAGATAAGGCAAAGAGGTCTAACATTAGTTGATTCAAATTTTAATTAATATCACTTTGAATGACTCTAAATAAACAAGTGCTTATTTCATATAGAATTAACATATTATTTTGTAAGTCCATTAATTAGAATTCTTTACACACAACTTCAAAACTCCCTTAGATCAACCTGCACCATACCTGCTCTCATTCGACGTCAAATTATCAAAGTTTTGACAGTAAAATATTTTGAGATTACTATTAGATTTCAAAATTCGATACATTAAACATAAATGACAATGAAAATTCGCTAAAATGTTTACACCTTACCTAACGACGTGCCAGACATCAGAAATCGCAACGGTTTTGCCTCATTTGCATATATTTTTAATATTTATGAAGATGAATCACACAAATCAAACGACCGGCCGTTAACTATCCATGTTCGTCTTCTGCAACTTTTTGAAAGTAAAACCCATAACATTGAGATTTCTGTTAAAATAAGCGACATTCAATGCATTAAACACAAATGGCAACAATGTATATTTAATTTATCCATACCTGACGTGCCACACTCATCAGCAAACCCAACGGTTTTGCTTGATTTGCATATATTTGAATATTCATGAGCAAAGATGAATCACACCAATCAAACGACCCGGGAACTACCCACGTTCTCCCGCTGCATGACGCTTTGCGTGAATTATGGCAATAAATTAAACTGTAAACAATCAGTCAAGTGTTTAAAACGTGGGTATAGCGAGATGGTATTATAAATATTAATAGGAATTCTATTAGAATTAACAATAATTTTATTTATACCCAAGCCTAGAACACCAAAAACTCACATCCTTAGTAAACATTGTGGACATGTTAAAATATTTTTTAAATTTTTTCATGAAGTAAAAAAATGAAGAACAATGCACCAGGAGTATTTTAACAAACAGCAATGTAACAAAAGCAGAAAACTGAAAGCCTGATTGAACTAATGCATCACTTTCATGCATTCAATACTATATTAAGCTATATTGCCCTATTAATTGGTGAACACTGGTTGCCTAGATACCGTATTAATGCACAATATGCTCAAGTGCAAGTGTTTTTATGCATCGATTGGAGATGATCTGAAAGGTTTAACACCAATCTAAAACTCACACAAGGTCAAATCTGGCATGTAATTAGCTTAAGTTCAATTCTCTACCAACCGTTTAAAACAACTGTAGCAGTGCAGAGCAATGCTTAATTAAACCACAAGCTTTTTAATTGGTGCAAGGTCAAAACTAAGCACATTCAAATCACTAACAAAGTCACACTGTGGATTTTTGGTCGTATTAAAAAGAGCCGATCTATGATTTGTTCCGGTTATATTTTTTTCATTACTCTGTAAAAAATGATATGATCAATTAGTCATGAGAGCATATGTTTTAGTTCATTACAACTTATTAAACTAAGTTAATCATGGTTATAACCATGTAGGGAAGTTATTTTAAGTCAGTTTAACATAATAGAAGTTCAATGGATTCATAAGGTTAGTTTAATTCAGCTTAAGAATTTAAGGCAACCAGGTTTTTTTTTGTTTGTTTTTTGTTTTTTTTTTAGTGTAGGAAGAAAAATCATTGTTTAAGGCAGCACTGATGATGGTTCATACAGAGAAGCTTCATTTATGATTTAATTTTGACAATTTTGGGGGAATTCAATTATAGCCTACAGAAATTGACCAAAACCAAACTAAAGAATAGCAGCACAGTGGCTCAGTGGTTACAACTCACTGGTGCCGGTTGGTATTTCTGTGTAGAGAATAAACTAAACTGGCTGTAGTGTGTGAGAGTGTGGGCAAATGTGAGAGTGTATGGGTGTTTCCCAGTACTGGGTTGTGGCAGGAAGGGCATCTGCTGTGTCAAACATATGCTATTGTCGATTCATTCATCTGTGGCGACCCCTGATAAATTAAAGAAAGAAACTTTGGGCGGCATCTAGCTCTCTGCAACACTCACATGGTTGCCCACTGAAGCGAAGCAGAGCTGAGGCTGGTCAGTACCTGGATGGGGGACCATATGGGAAAGCTAGGTTGCTGCCAGAAGTGGCATTAGTGAGACTAGCAGGAGGGGGCTCAACCCCGCGGTCCGTGTGGGTCTTAACACCCCAATATATTGATGGGAACTCTATACTGTTCAGTGAGTGCCAACTGTTGGATGCAACATTAAACCGAGGACCTGACTCTTTGTGGTCATTAAAAATCCCAGCATGTCCTTCGGGGAAAGAAAAAAAAAAAGACACCAGGGTTTAACCCCGTCATCCTGGCCAAATTTGCCTACTAGCCTCGGTCCATCATGGCTTAACCATCCCCATATCATAATTAGCTTCATCACTATGTTTCCTCTCCACCAGTGAGCTAGTGTGTCATGTATAGTCTGGATCAATATGGCTACCGTTGCGTCTCCAGGTGGATGCTTCACACTGGTGGTGGTTGAGGATGTGTAAAGTGCTTTGAGTGTCCAGAAAAGCACTATTTATTTATTCATTCATTTTCTTTTCAGCTTAGTCCCTTTATTAATCTGAGGTCACCACAGCGGAGTGAATCACAATCTTATCGAGCACATGTTTTACGAAGCGGATGGCCTTCCAGCTGCAACCAATCTCTGGGAAACCCATCCATACACACTCAGTCACACTCATACACTACAGACAATTTATCCTACCCAATTCACCTGTTCCGCATGTCTTTGGACTGTGAGGGAAACCAAAGCACCTGGAGGAAACCCACGCGAACTCAGGGAGAACATGCAAACTCCACACAGAAACACCAACTGACCCAGCTGAGGCTCGAACCAGCGACCTTCTTGCTGTGAGGCGACAGCACTACCTACTGCGCCACTGCGTCGCCCAGCACTATTTAAATCTAAGAAACTATTATTACTATTATTATTATTATACATAAGAAACTAAGCCGAAGGAAAATGAATGAAGAAAAGATCAAAACAAAATGTAAAACCACCACATATTTTATTTGTCAAGACAGTGTTGTAAAATCTGAATACATTAAAAAAAACGTTTAAAATACAAAATGCAACAAAACTGAAGAGAAAGCACCAAGTATTCCACTATATTAATAAGAGCATGTGAAATATTTACAAATGTTAGTCACCCAGACATTTAAAAGCAATAAACACTTACAATTTAACAATCAATTTTGGTTGAAGCTATATTTAAAAATCCAAGCCTAACAAGCCCTCAGAAGATTAAACTGCATCATGATCCTATATGAAACTCTGGTAGTATATAAATATATCATCTCTTGTTTGACAACTCTGAAAATACAGCTTACGTCTCTCTTGTGCCTATACTGGGAAATTAAGTCAAAACCCTAAAAAAAATCATACTAAGCAAGTGGACTTTCCATGGGAAAGAAACTTGCCAAGCTTATGAGGAATCGGCATTATAGATTCCTCAATAATTCGGGACCCTTTGAAGGAGAGACCATTCTGCTGGGTGTTTCCGCCAGCAGCTTTGACATTGATTGGCTGGAACTTTAACATGCAGCAGAAGTGAGTGACCCATGTTGGCCTTGGTTGTATTGGCAAATGGATGACGGAAATCTCCTATTTTTACCTAATCCTCCATTTTAGAGCTTCGGCACAGAGGTCCTGAGATCACACAGATGTGAGGAAGGAAGGTCAGCCTGAGTGGGATGCTTACAGGAATTTCTAGATTGCAAAGAAGCTTTTGACCTTCACTAAAAGAGAGAAAGAAATAAAAAATAAAACAGGCACTGGAACTTCAGCTACACAAGAGCCATTGTTCCTGAATAGATACACAGTGTAGTTTCTGGAAAGAAAGGCACATTTTGAGCATGGGAAAGTTCATTCAAAAAGATAACAACATGACGTCTATCAGGCCAGTCTCATTATAGAACAGCTTGATCTCCAAGTGACATTTATAAAAGTTACTTATTCAAGGATTCTGATATGAACGCCTGGAAGCGATACATCTGTGAGACAAAGCAGTTGGTAAATGAGTGTAACAGTTCATCATATTCACATATAACCTCATTTTAGTGGAATCTGAATGTACTTGAATCTAAATGTCAGCCGATCTCCTGGTCTGGCAGGAGCACTATTAGCTTAGCTTAGCATAGATCATTAAAACAGATTAGACCATTAGCATCTCACTAAAAAAAGATATAAAATGAGTTTTGATAATTCTTATTTAAGTCATTACACTTCTGTACTTACATTGTGTACTACGATCAACTGGAAATGAAAAGTTGCTATTTTCTAGACTGATATGGCTAGAAACTATACTCTCATTCCAGCATAATAATAAGGAATGTTTGCTGCTGTACCATGGCTGCAGCAGCCGCAATATTATGCACACTTGAAATAGTTTCCAGCAATGTCACTTTTCAGTTTCTATCAGTATCAGTACACGATGTAACTACAGAAGATGAGTCAACTTTTAAATAGAAAAAACAAAACTCTTGATTCTTTAGAGATTTATACTACCAAAAAATATTATTTTACTCAAAAAAAAAATATATATATTATTAACATAGCAAATACAAAGACACTGGGAATTCTATAGTAATCTCATATTTTTCCCCCATAGCTGTAGTAATAATATGTGAATAACATAAAATGGAAAGTCGTAAGTCCAGCCATTGAGTGCATACTGTACATAGGCCTACTATCCACAAATATTGATATAAAATAAGGTCAAGGAGAATCACTTTTAGGCTAGCTGATTTAAACTTGAATTTATGTTACTCTAAAATAATCAGTGCTTATTTTATATGCAGTAGAAAAAACACTATATTATTTTAAAAGTCCTAAAACTTCAAAACTCCTTTAGGTTATCTTGTGCCATACCTGCTCCCATACTGGGTCAAATTAGCAACATTTTGCTTTCATACGGGGTCAAATTAGCAATGTTTTGACAGTCATATCAGCATATTTTGAGATTACTATTAAAATAAACACAAATGACAGCAATGTACATTCGCTAAAAAGTTTACTCCTTACCAAAACAATGCTTCACACTCAGAAAACTCAACAGCTATGCTAAGCTAAGCTAAGCTCAGAGTTCTCCCTGTTTTGACAGTAAAGTCAGTTTATGCTGAGATTACTATTAAGGTAAACACAAATGACAGCAATGTACATTCACTAAAAAGTTTACTCCTTATGTAATGACGCTCCATACTCTTCAGACAGCCCAATGGCTATGCTAAGCTAAGCGAAGCTAAAAGGTCTCCCAATTTTGACAGTAAAATCAGCATATGTTAAGATTACTATTAAGGTAAACACAAATAACAACAATGCACATTCGCTAAAAAGTTTACTTCTTACCTAATGACGCTCCACACTCATCAGAAAACGCAACGGCTATGCTAAGCTAAGCTAAAAGTTCTCCCCATTTGACAGTAAAATCAGCATATTTTGAGATTACTATTAAAATAAACACAAATGACAATAATGTACATTCGCTAAAAAGTTTACTTCTTACCTATTGACGCTCCACACTCATCAGAAAACCCAACGGCTATGCTAAGCTAACCTAAAAGTTCTTCCTGTTTTGACAGTAAAATCAGCATATGTTGAGATTACTACTAAAATAAACACAAATGACAACTATATGCACATTCACTAAAAAGTTTACTCCCTCAGTAATGACAATCCACACTCATCGGAAAACCCAACGGCTATGCTAAGCTAAGCTAAATCTTGTTTACGTTTTGACAGTAAAATCAGTATATTTTAAGATTACAATTAAAATAAACACAAATGACAGCAATAAACATTCGCTAAAAAGTTTACTCCTTTACCTAACAACACACTCATCAGAAAACCCAATGGCTATGCTAAGGTAAGCTAAGCTAAAAGTTCTTCCCCAGACCCAGAGATTGGCTGAATGGAATAAAAATTAGATACGGTTTAACTTTAGCTTACTTGTAAAAGAAGCCTATTTGCAAAACTATTTGGAGTGTTGCTTTAACTTTGTGTGCGTGCAGTTCACAAACTTTCCTAAAATGTGCTGCCACTGAACATTTCGGTTTTTCTGCTTTGGTTGTCGCTGTGATTGCAGGTCCAGGCTCCACTATAAGGATGTGATTTCACGGATCCATTCCCGCAGTTTGGTGACACGCGTGTAAACGCCAGGCTTGTTCCTCCGAGCGCAGCCTTCTCCCCAGCTCACTATGCCAGCCTGGAACCATTTGCCACCTTCGGAAAGACACACAAGAGGGCCACCCGAATCTCCCTGCGGAAGCCAAAAGAGGGAAACGTAACGCAACATGTTCCAAAACAGTCTGAAAAATATCAAATGCATGGAGGACACTCGTGTAACAAAACCTATTTGATCAGCATATTCAAGAGTTGCCTGTTGATCTCGTCTAGAGAATGTTCATTATTGAATGTTTATTTATATTTTTGTATATTGTGGGTTATTTATTTCAGTACTACTGAAGATTGTAATTTATTTTGTTTCATCATTTTTGACGTCCGTATTGAATCTTTTACAATATTGTATATAAAACAATCACACCAATAAAGTGCTTGAATCTGAATTATTATGAAGCAGAACGGATATTATTGACGAGTATTGTGTATGTGAGAAAGTGTGTATGCATGTGAAGCAATTTGCGAACATTTTAATTATTATTGTAATCACTCATCATTTATTATTTTGTACCTCTAATTTAAGCTGCTTATTTACTGTGTCATTTCATTTCATTACTATTATCCCTGAATGATTTGTTTTGTGTGTAATACAATTCGGCTCTTAATTACTTTGCCAATATTGCAATGCAAACAGACGTGGCAATAAAGCATATTTGAATTGGGAGGTGAGAGGAAAGAGAGAGAGACAAAACAACCAAGTGAATGAAAGAATATTACAGAAGGATGAAGCAAAAAGTACAAAAAGAGAGAGCGGGCGTTTGCGAAATCTATAGCAGGAGAGAAAGGAGTCAGAAGACCAGGACCGGAACCTGTGCGGGAGAAAAGCAGACTAAGAAGATTACACCCAGAATAAGAGAGAGACGCACGGAGCGTTCAGAAGGGGGAAAGCAAGATGAATAACAAGTGAGATAGAAGTAGAAATTATGGAAATCAGCTCATTTAAATATCAGGGAACAAGGTAGAATAATTAATCTTCTCCACTACGAGGCTGTACACACGCTGCGGGAAGACAACAACATTAGCCGAACACTTTGACGGCATTATGCTCATGTCATATTTGTACTGTAGGTTGTTTCTGAATGAATAGAAACAGGATGAAAAAGACTTGGGGTTTGACAGTGCATCTAAACGCCTATTAAACCACCTTGAATTCATTAAAACCAAGCGAAGGTGTAATTTTGCGTAGGTTATATAAAGCTGGCAACTTGGGCGGGAGTGCTGGGGTTTTGAGTCTGTAAATGCTAAGAGTCGTCTAAATGGCCTTAAGGGGTCAGTTCACCCCAAAATTAAAATGCCAATGAAGATATTTTTTAATGAAATCTAAAAGAGATATACATTCAATGGCCACTTTATTAGGTACACCTTACTAGTACCAGGTTGGACCTCCTTTTGCCTTCAGAACTGCCTTAATCCTTCATGGCATATAACAAGGTACTGGAAATATGCCTCAGAGATTTTGGTCTATACTGCTACAGATTTGTCGGCTGCACATCCATAATGCAAATCTCCTGTTACACCACATCCCAAAGGTGCTCTATTGCATTGAGATCTGGTGACTGTGGAGGCATTTGAGTATAGTAAACTCATTGTCATGGAATTATGACTTGCATTATCCTGCTGGAAGTAGCCATCAGAAGATGAGTACCCTGTGGTTATAAAGAGATGGACATTGTCAGCAACAATAATCAGGTAGGCTGTGACATTGACACGATGCCCAGTTGGTACTAATGGGCCCAAAGGGTGTCAACTATCCCCACACATTACACCACCACCAGCCTGAACTGTTGATACAAGGCAGGATGGATCCATGCTTTCATGTTGTTGACACCAAATTCTGACCCTATATCCGAATGTCGCAGCAGAAATTGAGACTCATCAGACCAGGCAATCTTCTATTGTCCAATTTTGTTGAGCCTGTGTGAATTGTAGCCTGTTCTTGTTCTTAGCTGACAGGAGTGGCACCCAGTGAGGTATTCTGCTGCCTCAAGATTCAACGTGTTGTGCGTTCATAGATGCTCTTCTGAACACCTCAGTTGTAACGAGTATTTATTTGAGCTATTGTTGCTTTTCTTTCAGCTTGAACCATGCTGACCATTCTCCTCTGACATCAACAATGCATTTACGCCCCCAGAACTGCCGCTCTCTTGATATTTTCTATTTTTCAGACCATTCTTTGTAAACCCTAGAGATGGTTGTGCATAAAAATCCCAGTAGATCAGCAGTTTCTGAATTACTCAGACCAGCCCGTCTGGCACCAACAACCATTACAAGTCACTTATATCACCTTTCTTCCCCTTTCTGATGCTCAGTTTGAACTGCAGCAGATCGTCTTGAACATGTCTACATGCCTAAATGCATTGGGTTGCTGCCATGTTATTGGCGGATTAAATATTTGCGCTAACAAGCAGTTGGACAGGTGTACCTAATAAAGTGGCCAGTGAGTGTATTTCCCTCCTTAGAAATTATACATGCACAAAAAATATTGTTCATAAATAAATAAAAAATGTAGAACATGAGAAAGAAAGAAAGAAAAAAACAGACAGAAACATGGAATTGGCAGTTTGGCTAAGCTGAAGGAAGATGAATAAATAAATGAAATATATTTTCTACCAGAAATCCACTTCTGCAGTATTTTGCAGGAATTGTTTTTTTTTACAACTATGGCCTAAAATGACTAATCTTATGATCTTTATTTAATCACAAACTTGTTTTGTTGAAAAGTTTTTTTTTGAGAAAAGATGTTTTCTGAAAACTTATGCCATTATTTGCTTCAATTATTGTGTTTTGCTATAAAAATACACAAAAATCTTGAAAAAAGTTTTCTCTTTTTGACCTCAAGAACCATTGGACGGTTTATATATTTATGAAATGTGTTTGTTTTTTTTACCTGACAAGCATCCACACCTCCAGAAAGGTAGCCGCTGCACATCATTCTAGAGGTCACCTGACCTTCGGTCACCATGTTGCACACTGTATCATTAATCACCTTTACTTCTGCTTTCTGAAGGATTTGAGCCGCGCTTCCTACAACACATACATAAAACATTAGTCCTGTGAGAACGTTTCTGATACCAAAGAGAATCTGCTCTCATTAAGGGTGTGTGTTTAAAACATTGATCAGAATTAGCTTACAATTATAACTCAATCTCTTAATGAACGTTCTGCTAAAAGCAAAGCTGAATATGTTCACATGGACAACGGTAATACATTATTTACCCTATTCTGTCAATGTTAATTATGATTTTTCACGTTGAAAACCTTCCAATGCAGTTAATGATTTGCCATGCTATATATGCAAACATAAAAATGTGGATAGTTTGTTTACTTGGTGTTCATCTAATTAATATTAGAATACTGCTATTGGCTTTCTATGTAACCCTATTGAGTTTGCATTGTAGATTATTAATCAGAGTATTGTCTTAATAATGTTTATATCAGGATACTGCAGTCCATGTAAACATTCCTAACATACATGGTTGATTCTTAAAATATTGTATTAAAGGGGTGGTCCACTACAATATCGTATTTTAGACTTTAATTGATGTATAATGTAGATGTGTGAACATAAACAACATCTCTGAATGTAATACGCAAGTTCAAAGTTCAACGCATTGACTTTTACAGAGTTAGCATAGCAAAGCCTACAGCGAATGAAGTTTGGGGACTACAAAAACTACATCAGGGTTAATGAGATCATATTATTATTATTATAACCTTTATTTTACCAGGAAAGACACATTGAGATTAAAAATCTATTTAACATGAGTGTCCTGGCCAAGATTGGGCAGTATACATGTCGTGTGAGTCTCATAGACAAAAAAATAAAAAATAAATATTAACAGTTACCATGAATTACAATGACAAACTATTCAAAACATCTACAAACCAGTGTATAAGAGATAATAAACCCTTCAGGTTATGCGCATATACCCAGAGCAATGAATGGGTGTGGCCAGAGGTGCTATAATGTTATAGAAGAGAAAGCTAAAATGGCGTCTAAATGCTGCTATTTCCATAGAGCTTGTTCGGTTTCTGTATTTGGGCTTCCAAAGGACACAACACAAAGAGAGAAGTGCTTACAATTTAATTTTAGTTATGTTCCAGAGAATTCTTTTAAAAAATATATAGCTCTAACATTTGACAAAGGAGAGCTTCCAGAATATCTCTGAGTTTTAGAAGAGCTCATAGAAGCAGCTCTCCAACCATAATAGACAAAGTGAGAGAGAGAGAGCACGTGCGCGAGCGGTAAAAACATGATGAACACTTTTTAAAAACCTGAATTAATGTTGGAGTTACCTTTGCACGCTGGAGAAAGGATGACACTATGTCTGAAGGATTTCTCTTAGACAAGTAATGTTCTGTTTTAAAACTGTTCTAGCTTCACGCAAAGCTGATGTAACGGTAGATGTTGTTGTTACAAATAGGTTATATCTTCACAAAAGTGTTGTTCAGCCACTAAAATCTTCCGATGACAAAGATTGATATGACTATTTTCAGTTTCATAAGGGAACTTTTACGGCATCGATGATGTAGATTTTAATTAGTTTAACAACAAAACACAAGTAAGTACCACTATTCCGCCTAGTCTCTCCCTATATCGTTTACCATGCGACTCTAAATATTTGCTCTGAAATAGCATGTTGGTTTGGCTTGGACACCGCCGGACAAGCACTAGTCGCTTTTAACACATGAGAGAGGGTTCTTTTGCCGTGCTCCTGTTTCAGGAGGCGTGGCTCTAGACAGCAGGGGAGGGACTGTGACTCAGAGATTTATGCTAAACTGTTAGCATTGTGGAAGATCACCTACTGCACCTTTAATGCTATGTTATAGCAAGAACGCAAAGGATATAAGCAATGGGAAATGCTGATTGTCACAGCTAACAATTTAGCTATAAATTCATATTTATCAGTCAAACCGCTGTAAACACCCACAATCTTCACCAGCACTGCAGTGTCTCTCTATGCGAACGTTTTCTCTGCGTTCTACATCTCAAATAACAAACTCACAAAAGAAATCAGAACGTTTTATATTACTTATACATGGTTATTCTGAATATATGTGACATTTGTCAGATTTTATTTTAGAGAGCAGGCATGAGGTTCAGCTGTGTCCTCTTCATTTTTTTGTCTGATTCAGGCTCAAACTCATACGACTAACAACTACTCTGACTGACAGTATTTACACAATGGCAAAGCGCGTGCTGGTAGAGCCGTGATGCTTCCTGGTGAAGTAGTGATGTTAGATGACCAATCAGAGTCTTTTGAGGGCAGGCTTTTGGTGGAACCATGAAATATGATAGTCATTTTAGTCATGTTAGCCGTGTAGCTGTATATACTTAAAGTAAGAAAAAAAAATGTGATTTTTTTTTTTTTTTACAAATTAAGCATGAGCACACATTGTTTTTCATCTTATAAGCACAACCTTAAAAATAAACTCTGGACCACCGCTTTAATCTCATTAATATCAGAAACCTGTTGTCCATGCAAACATTCTGACTGAGACAAGGGATTGAAAAAATGTCAAACTTAAGAGGCAAATTTTCAAAAGATTTGTAAAAGCGGATCTCCAAATGCAAAGATCAGCCCTGAGGTGCACAAGCTGTCTGACCTCCCTCTCGAAGCGTCCCCCAGCCCGTCACAAAGCAGGAGCTGCCGGCTGTGAAGACGTGGCTCGTCGCTGGAAGGCAGATGGGATGCACAGTGTTGCTGAAGTTCAGCGGCTGGCTCAGTTCGAGGAGAGAGATATCATAGTCATTGGTCAAATCGTTGTAGTTTGGGTGGGTGATGATGGTCTTCAAATCTCGCATTTGAACCGATTTGTCATGGGTGTTCTGGTCCCGCAGCCCACTGTACGTAATCCAGCTGGATGTCATCTTGTATCTGTTGCCAATAAACACAATGTAGAGTTTTTGAAAGGTCAGCATGTAATGGGAATCTGTGTTTTGAAATGGAAAACTGAGGAAAATTTGCTTGATGCAACAACTTGTGGAACACCTTGTTAAAAACGCAAATCCAAAAATAAAGACACTATAGGGTCGACAGTAATGTATGACCAAAAACTTCTACTGATAATGTAATTATTTAATTTTCTTATTTGATATATCATTTGAAGCTGTATGTAGGATTTTCCAGTACATGTCACTATTGCTTCCATATGTATAGTTGAAACCAGAATTTTACATACACTGTATAAAAAGGCAAGTAACCATTTAAAAAAAAGTCAGATGTTAATGTGAATAAACCTTTTTTCTTTTTTAGGTAAGTTAGGATTATCTTATTATTATTTCATATATTTTTGAGAAATTGTTATAACTTTTTTTGAAAGTCAAGTTTACAAACAATGAGATTATTATGCCTCTGATAAAGCTCAGATGATGGTGTCAAGGTTTTGGAAGTTTCTGATTGGCTAATTGAAAACATTGGAGTCAATTGGAGACACAACTGTAGAATAGTATTTAAGGAAAACCTCAAACACACTGCTTCCTTGTGTGACAACATGGGAAAATAAACAAGCCAGAATAAAAAACAAAACAAAACAAAAAAAAGCCAGATTACAATTTGCTAAATTACACTGGGAAAAAGAATCCTTTTTGGAGACATGTCCTGTAGTCTGATGGAACTAAGATTGAACTGTTTGGCCATAATGACCGGTGTTACATTTGGAGGACAAAGGGAAAACCTTCCAAGCCTAGGAAAGAGCACCATGCAACCTGGGAAGTACGGAGGAGGCAGCATCATGTGGTGGGGCTGTTTTGCTGCAGGAGGGACTGGTCAAGTTCACAGCATAGCTGGCATCATGAAGAAAGAACATTTTGTACAAATACTAGAGCCACATCTCAAGACATCAGCCAGGAAATTAAAACCTGGCCACAAATGAGTCTTCTAAACAGACCAGGACTCCAAGCATACTGCCAAATTAGTTAAAATGTGATTTAAGGACAACAAAGTGAATGTTTTGGTGTGGCCATCACAAAGCCCTGATCTAAATTCTATAGAAAATTTGTGGGCAGAGTTAAAAAAATAAATAAATTGCGCGAGCAAGACAGCCTACAAATCTGACTCTTTTACACCCGTTCTGTCAGGAGGAATGATCCAAAATTCCTGCAAACTATTGTGAGAAGCTTGTGGAAGGAAACCCAAAACATTTGACCAAAGTTATGCAGTTTTAAAAGCAAAGATACAACAATTCTAAGAAAATGTATGTAAACTTTTGACTGTCTAGAAATTAATAAAAAATTATCTCATTATTCACGCATTTAGCAAAAGTAAATCATTATGGTAATCCTATTGGACCTAAAATAGTAAACGTTTAGAATGATTTACCATCAGACATGAGTTAACAAAAGTTATGTTCCTTTTTTTTTTTAAGTGTATGTAAACTTCTGGTTTCAACTGTATATTAATAAGTAATAGATGTTATTATGTTCCAGAGTATTTAAAAAAAAATGTGCATGTTTACCATGTTATTTTAAATGCAGGCACATTTATGTTGTATTTTATTTACGTCATAATTCTACTAGACTATGTCTACTAGCATTCCTAGCCAAAAGATTGTGTCAAGACGCAAGAGGTTTTCATCTCTCTCAGTCTGTTATTGTTTGGAGCTGGTACGCTTGGTGGTTTATAACCTAGCAACTGTTTAGTTAAACAAGGAGGACGTTGAAGTGTTGATAGACTAGTGTAGCGTTAGTACTTAGGCTGCCTATTTCGTGGATGAATATTGTGTGTGTTTATGCGATAAAAAATCTAAAGTGGCTCAAGTTGTATCAACTGTACTTGCCCTGAAACTCTTCCAGTGGGGAGTTCATTGAGGTCCAGCAGGTAACGCAATGAAAACTGTACACTTTCAGAAGAGATAAATCTACATATTTTTGATTTGGAAGCTATTGTTATCCAAGTAAGATGTTATAAGAGGTGACGTGCACTGAATATTGTCAAAGTTTTACCCATTTTGGAAATTGGTCCTCTGCTTTTGAAACATACAAGTCTGCACTAGAGGCTGACATTTTTAGAAATTCCACAGGTCAGCAAAATCCCATAACAATCCCAGAAAATGGGAAACAAAATCATTATTAAATCACATGATTTGGACGAGACAGTAAATGTCAGCAGGCGAGGGTGCACAAATACACATTTTATATAATAATAAACTATAAAATGTATTTGTTAACTCAATTCTAGCTGCCCTGGATCTTAACGCAATACTTCTGCTTGCTTTGGTGTGCTGGATAAAGTGAATCCAAACACCCGTAACATTTGTTGGCGGTTGTGCCAATGGATAATACATGAGACAAGGCCATTTCCCCATAAAAGTCATAATCAAAATATAGACAGACATGAAAGCTTTGCAATAACAACTTCTTAAAATGATTCTTTAGGTCTGAAGTAACCTAAACTATTGTTATTATACGTGTGTGCACATGTATGTGATGTTGTTTTTTAAGTGTATGGTTTACATGAAAACGAATGTGTGAAATACACACTATAGTTTAGGATGGCTTTTAGTTCAATAATAAAAAATCATTGAATTTCATTCAACTAAAGTGGGCAATGGGCATACTGTGGTCTATACTGGATTTTTTAAACTGAAACTGACAGATTTTCCCCCATTTTTTGTCATGCGATTGAATTATTGTTGTGGGAATAGGACAAGAGAGGTTTCAAAATACACTCATATGACAACCTCCTAGTGTATTTACACACATTATGAGTGAGGAGTGAGAGCACATGAACACACAGACCCATAGCACTGGGCAGCTATTGCTTCCAGTGCCCAGGAAACAATTAAGGGTTAGGTGCCTTGCCTGAGAGCATCTCGGTTGGGTATCAAAAGAGAGAGGGTGTTTTTTTTTTTTTCAATCCCCCACCTTTAATTCCTGCCATGACCAGGGTTAAAAAATGCAACCATTTGGATTGCAGACTCCCTAACCATTACGCCACAACTGCCCCCGTGTCAAAATGAACTGGCCAAAGACATCAAATCCATGGCTCAAATCCATTTTACATCTGTACTTTGACAGGACATTTCATAAAATGTGTGTTTTTCACACCAATTACTGAATTGTTAGTGATGCCGGAACTTCTTGACAGTACAATTTATTTTAAACTTACTGAAAAACACCCAAAGCTTATAAAAACATGCTGGAAAGCTCATTATCTTCAAATGAATACACAATAAAGACACTAGGGTGGGCGGTATGACGAAAAGGTTAAGCCGAAATCCTTAAAAGTGCATTTGTTTATATTTAATTTGAGGCCGTTGGAAGGGATGAGAGCATTTTGTTTTTGAAGGTGTTGTTTGAAGACATTGTAAGCATGAAATAAATTCGGAAGAAATTAGATTTGTGTGTTCAAAATACAGTGTTGTTTTGACATCAACATGTGCGAAGCTTAAAGAGAAATAAATGTAAATAAATATATAAAATATTCATTCTCAAGTGGTTCACAACCTCTTCTTCTAAAGAGGTAACTTCTGACATCCAGAGTAGAAGAAACAAATACCATGAAAGTCAATGATTACCGGTTTCTAATATTTGCAAAAAGATATCTAATTTTATGTTCGACAGAAGAAAAACTCAAACAGGTTTGTAACTATTGAAGGGTGAGTAACTGATGACAGAATTATTACATATAGGCTATACCTTTAAATTGAACGTTCCAATTTCAAACACCTTAATGTTAACAAATCAATATTGACACTTAATCCCAAGATTATTTTAATAAATGCTGATTTAAAAAAAATATATATATATATATATATATATATATATATATATAATATACAATATATATATAAGACTACACTAAAGATTGCGTACAACATTTTCTAATTTGAGCTCTCTTTTGTTCTGGAGTAGAAAAGGTTTCATCCCAAAGTCAGTCTTCAGATTTAGATGTCTTTTATTTGGCCCATAAGATGATCCCATACTGTCTCTATAATATTGAGGTCTGGACTCTGTGGAGGCCAGTTCATGACTGTCAAGTGTTTTCATCAGCTATTTTCTTCCTCAAAAAAATGATTTTATTGATCAGGTGGAGACTGAGAGATACGATCCCTGCACTGACTCCATTGCTAAAAACAAATCTAATGGTTTCTATAGACTTTTTCAAATGACTGTTTGCTAAAATCTTTTATGAAAACAAGTTATGAAAGCCTTTGTGTAAATAGATTTATTTAAACGATAAATTAGGTGGAAACAAAATTTTAAACTTGCATTTAATTGTTAATGCTAATTTTTTGTTTATTCAATTTGTATTGTTGATTATTACATTGAAATCTAATAGAATTTAATACAGTGGTCCATCGTTATTTGCAGGTGTTACGTTCTAAAAATAACCCGCACTAAATCTGGGAAGTAGTCAGCTTTATTTTTTCAATTATTACACACTTTATACACTTTCTCACAAGGGCATTAACATTTTCTAACCTTTCTCTCATTTAAACACTCTCAAAGTTCAAACTTTTATAGAAAATTAAGTCCAGTTTTATACAATAAAATGAAAGATCAAAACCTGTTGTCAGGCACCAACATTCATCTCTGTCAGCAAAAGCTTCATAAAGCTTTTCAGCTTTAGTGCGGATAATGTTGGCATCCAGCATAATGTTCTTTTTCCTGCAGTCACTGATTTACAAAACTAAAGTACACCGGATGCACCGGGCACATGACAGTTGGAAGTAACACACAACGGACCCTCACATTCGCATGTCATTTAAGATGAAATGATTCAAATGGTGCTCTGTGGCATGGCGAAAATATGAAACATGTCCTGAGTCATAGCTGGGCACTGCAGACTCGCAGCGCCGGTCTGCATACTGATGGTGTGGATTTTTTTGATGGATGTCCGCTCCAGGACAGAGTAACACATATCCTTTCTTATGTCTTTATGATTATTAATGAAGTTAAATGTTTAAGAGCCTAGAATTTATGATGACCTTTTAGTGTCATCCCACTTCAGATTAAAACTGGAATAAAATGTGTGTGATTGCTTTACTGTATGCCAAATTATTTGTTTCCTGAGGATCTACCCAGCCAAGTCAGAGGTCAAGGAATTTCTTGAAGAATTGGATCCAACTGTTCCTATTGCTATTTGCTAATGTGCTAATTATGTCTAAAGTGATATTTGCTATATTATGTGTTAAATCTTTTACAGTTAATTCCTTTGTATGCAAGCCGCCAGTTTAGATGTAGATTTTACCGGTTTTTAACCAGTTTTGATAAAGATAGCTGAGAGTACACTCGGTCTTGGGAAAGAAACAGATTGTACTATGGAGTGTGAGTGTGTGTTTTATTCAATTGTGGATCGTTCCACATGTCTGGGGTCAGCTCTAAACAGTCTGATGTTTGTATGCTTGAGATATTGAGTCTCAGGTTCAAACGCCTATATGTATGACACAGTTATTGATGTTATGTGAGAGTATAATTGTTGATGTTTTGAGATTGTAAGGAGAGCGACCTACAAAGTCACTGCGAGTGTTGAAGCTGGCTTCTGCTAATGAAACTGCAAGCTATCTTCAGTAAACTTCCTTTTTAATTGAATCTCTGACTCCGGCTCTTCTTCATCTGACAGATTGGTCATTTTTGGGTTCAAACTGTAAAATATCCCTACACTACCCTGATATAAACCTACATTTACAATTCTGAAATGCATGGTCCTGTGTGGCGCGATGTGGTGCATATGGTGAGCGACTCCCTTTACGATGGTCTTGCTGCGGACCGTTACAATCCTTTTTGCATTCATGTTGGAACTCACACTGCTCATGATCGAAGATTTACAGTATGTTAATTTGGCAAGGTGAACGCATTATGTACTGTACAGGTAACACGGAGGAGATTGATTTACAGTGGTCTACAGCAGTGGTGTCCAAACTCTGTCCTGGAGGGCCGGTGTCCTGCATATTTTAGTTCCAAACCTTATTAACCACACATGAACTAGCTAATCAAGCTCTTTCTAGGTATATTAGAAACACCCAGGGAGGTGAGAAGGAAGTTGGAGGTAAACTATGCAGGACACCGGACCTCCAGGACCGAGTTTTGACACCCCTGGTCTACTGCCAATCAGGATGTCAAATTGCATTTAAACCATCTGCGAAACTGCGAAGCCGCAAAAGATAAACCACGTAATAGTGAGTAATATTAGAGCTCTGTTAACTCCTTTAAAATATATTCATATCTGTCAACACTCCTGTTTTTCCAGGGATTCTCCCGTATTTTACAGTTCTATCCCGCTATCATCCCATAAAGGTATTTTCCCATATTTCTCCTGTATTTTTAGTGTTTCTCTGAAGGGTGGCAAGAAACATTATAGAAACATTAAAGAGCCGAGCCTCCATATACGCAACCCATACAGCCGAACCACCAGGGGCTGCCCGTTACTCTTAATTTGAGTCTGTTCTGTGCTTTCGCTTTGTTTAGGCACAAAAACACTTTGAAATAAATATAAAAATGATGGGATTTCCTTTCCTTTTCATTACAAGTGCCGTCACCTCTCCAATGCAATCCTTAAAACAGTCATGACTGGTGCATGACTGTCAGCTGACCACTCCATAGTGATAAATAGACGCTGTTTCCCAAACGGATTCTGTACATGCGATTAGAAGCGGAGCGAAAGTCTGGCTTTTGGGTGCGTGTTTGACCAGACATATACACATAATTAATAATAATAACAACATCTAGAGATGTCGATCTTGGTGTTTTTTTTTTCAAACAACTAATTTCGTCTTAAATGAGGATAAAAAATTAGGAAAGCAGTCAAATGCTTTCATTATAACGTTAGATGTGTGCATTTTTAAAGTGATGCTTGTTATTTAATGTAATCAAACGAAAAAAAATCTAAATAAATAAAGAGATTCATTCGCTGCTCTTTAATCAGAATGTGTAAGTTATACAGTAGTAGATCCCTTATTTTGATGGGCGTATCCCATTTTCACATCCCAATGTTGACAGGTATGTATATAACAAAACAAGTAATAGGGAAACCCAATACAACATTAGCAGAAATACATATTTTTATCCTTAAGAAAATAGTAATATATTGAATGTTTCATAAAGACAGAGCCAGAACCCAATGAAAAAAAAAGCATCAAACAAAGTTGTTTTTCTTTTCTGCTGCACTGAAAATGCACCAAGATAACAAAACTGAGATACTGAAGTGTCATTTCAATATACTGTTACACCCCTAATGGCCAGGATTGAGAAAAAAACAACACATCTATATAAGGAGGGGTTGAAAAATAAGGAGGGCTAGGAGATTTCATAGGTGAAACAAAGTTATTACGCTCTGATGAAAGATTAAAAACAAACATTTGTGCACTGATCTATCATTGGCAAGATTATTAAGAAAGTAAATGGGGTCAATCTTGATTTCACGGCGAAACCATACCTCAGGAGAGTGAATAATCTTTCAATTCAGCTTTAGTGTTGCAGTCTCCCGAACATGTTGGAATAATTCATCAAGGAAAAAAATAGGACTTGACTGCATGTCTTGTGCTCCACCTACTGGCTAATGGGAATAAATACAAACCCAGGCTTTGATCCAACACAGGAGAGCTGATGTTGGATGACATTTGAGCACAAAGAGAATAGAGAAAGAGGTCTACAGCTAAAAAAACAAACACCAAAACACACTCACGATGGATCAGGTTGGATGAAGCAGTGGGCAGCACACAACAGCCATTTGTTGGAGATGATCGAGGCTCCGCAAGCGTGTCCTTGGGTCTTGAAATGAAGACTGACCTGCCACGGCCATTCACCCACATCTGCGTTCTGACCACCCACAATACGGTTATGCTTGTATGGCCGAGTCCCGCAGTCTGAAACCAAATTGTAAGAGCGGATCAAGCTCAAAGTGAGATTTCAAAAAGACAACAGAAAGGATAGTATTGGCGTGCTGAGATGAGAGGTTATTGGGGTCTCGTACAAGACCGGCAGGGATAAGATCAGAGGGCTCGCTGTAAAACTGTTTGCACTGAAAGATGGTGGAGTTTCTGGAAACATCTTCTCTGACTCACAGGACTGTCCGCCTTTAGCAGGATTCAAGCAGAATTATAACAAGGCAGATATATAGAGGGATGAACCAAGCTGGCTGATAAAAACACAATGAGGAAGGAAAAAGAATCTAGCAACCCTGAGGCCAATAAAAGAAGTAGAAAGAGATGAAGAAATGTCAAGTAAGGTTTCATAAAAAAAGCATATTGGCTTCAGGCTCTAATGTGATTTTTTTCTCTCCTTTTGGTGCTAATTACCGCGTTGTTGATGATCCAGCAAGTTCTGGAAATTACAATTGGTTTTAGATTCATTTAAACACCAAAAGCTTGTGAAAACACACTGGGAAGCTCATTATCTTCAAATGATTATACAATAAAGACTCTAGAGGTGGGCGGTATGACTAAAATCTTATACTGATAATTGTATTCGCTTATATATTATAAATCTATAGTACTTCACGACTGAGTCTATAACTGATTTGAATTATTATTAAGAAGAGTTTGCCTGAAAGCAGTTTTACTGCTCAATTCAGTGCAATATTAATGAAAGTTGTTCCATTTTCTTTGCCTTAATCTACCGCTGTCTTTATGAATTAATGCAAGATCATCTAAATCAATTAAACAGAAAAACCAAGACTATAATGTACCATAACCAATACCGATTATTTATCATAATCACAGGGACTTAGCTTTTTTTATTCAAATACTATATCTAAAGTGATTTTTGTGAATTAGCAATGGTTTCTGCTGTACTGGCGTTCAGCTGTAGATGTCAATGAACGGCAAAAGTAAATAGTTCCTCGTACAAAAAAGGGTTTTTGAGACTCTCAGGCCCAGTTTTACAAACAGGGCTTAGATTAAGGCAGGACTAGGCCTTAGTTAAATAAGGCTATTTAAGGCACATTTATAAAAATGGCCTTAGAAAAAATATTACTGGTGTGCACCTGGAGACAAAAAAAAAATGACACTGACAAATTTTAAGACATCTCACAACAAGTTGTTTTGAGACAGCTGAAACATGCAACTTAATCTTGACTAGCCTTAAAATTTGTTTGTGAAACCGGGGGTCAGTGTTATGATTATGACGTTTAACTTTTGTATAAACGCAATATCAGACTTGTAGCAGTGCGATATTGCTTCATATCGGCACTGCTTGTGTGATATTGCTCATATACAGTACTGTGCAACAGTTGTTGTTTTAGCTAAATTTTAATGAGCCTCCAGAACTAAAAACTAGTCTCTGCATTAAGATAGAAACAGAAAGAAAAGAAAAATACACAAAATTAAGAAAAACAAAACACTGTTTTCAGAATAGTGGCTTCTGCTAACAAATTTATGTGGGTTTTTTTTTTCTGTTTTTTTTATTATTTTTTTTAATTTTTTTTTTTTACTCTGTCGAGGTAATCCCGACTGCCTCTATAATACTATATTAAGGTCTGGACTCAGTGGAGGCCAATTCATGATTGTTTTCCACTGTTTTTGTCTACAAATATCATAAACATCTACAGATATAACATAATTTCCTAATCAATATCATTTTCTATAAATATCATTACTGTTCAGGTGAGGAGCGATATATTATTATACTGTACTATAGATATTATAATAATTATATATAATTATACTAAAATAACAAATTTTATGGTGGCCAATGACAAAGACTTGCACAGTATGATAGATAGAACGATAGATAGATAGATACTGTAGATAGATAGATAGATACTGTAGATAGATAGATAGATAGATAGATAGATAGATAGATAGATAGATAGATAGATAGATAGATAGATAGATAGATAGATAGATAGATAGATAGATAGATAGATAGATAAATAGACAGACAGACAGACGGACAGACGGACGGACGGACGGACGGACGGACGGACGGACGGACGGACGGACGGACGGACGGACGGACGGACGGACGGACGGACGGACGGACGGACAGAAATACAGACAGACAGACAGACAGACAGGCAGGCAGGCAGACAGACAGACAGACAGACAGACAGACAGACAGACAGACAGACGAATAGATGGATGGACAGACAGACAGACAGACAGAGACGGAAAGAGACGGATGGATGGATAGATGGATGGACGGACGGACGGACGGACAGACAGACAGACAGTTAGATAGACAGACAGACAGACAGGCAGGCAGGCAGGCAGACGGACGACTGGACGGATAGATAAAACAATGGATGGATGGATGGATGGATGAATGGAACGATGTATAGACAGATGAATGGATAGATATTTTTTACATAAAATGTATATTGTACTGTAAGAATAAGCTTGCTTTGTAAGGGTGCTTCTAATATTGCTGGAATGTTCCACACACTATCACAGATAATGTAGATTTCTCTGCACAAATTCTGCTATTAAACACCACTGTTTTAAAAAGAAGTTGAATTCATTTAAATAGATCCACATACAACCGATTAATGACTTCAAAGCTCACAGCAGGTCTGCTTCTTAGTAATGATAAAAATCTCAGTCCCTATAGAGAAAATGAATGGAATTGTGTCTCTCAAAGCCACACTGTCGCTCTCACTAGAGAAGAAAAGACAGGCACTACTTTTGTTTCATGCCGAGGAGTTTCAGACAAAACACGATCAGTTACCATGCAACACACAGACTAAAAGCACCTTCTTCTTTGTTAGTGAGGAAAAAAAAACTCATTTAAAAGTGTGACTTACCACATCCTTGTTCGTCCGAGCCATCTGAGCAATCATCTTCACGATCGCATTCCGCATTCACTTTGTTTACGCATTGCTTGTTTTTACACTTGAAGGAGAAATCATTGCAGACACCAGGCGCTAAGAGAGTGAAATGAAAGTAAAAGTTGAAGTAAACAAGGGGAATAAAACATCAAGTGCAGCTTCTTTTCATCACCAAAGACCTAAGCCTCCTTTATGGCAATGTAAGAGTCAGCCTATTGATCAAGCCTATTGATCGTGGGATAGGTCACTTATCTCTGCTGAAAGATACCAAAACAATCAACAACTTGGAGTGGGAGAATGGCGGTAGAAAAGGCCAAAATATGTGATTTCTCCAGCTTTTACTGCCGCTCACAAGTGTTTCGCATCTTTAAAGCAGGTTAATTATCACATTATTTTACGGTGCTTGATTTTTCAGTAGAGGATGTCAACGTACATGTCAGCTCAGCATCTGCAGAACATTTCAAGACATCAGAAAATCAAGCTAATTCAATATACAGTCGCTTAATGGCTGAATGAAGTTAAATTTAGAGCATTCACAAACATCAAAAAGCGTTTAAATATTTGATTTCATTGTTTTACATGACTGGGCATTTACTGTGATCACAAACGGTTTTAACCTTAAATTTCTGACATCAGAGACACTAAACTACAGGCCTGCAGGTGCAGAGTTGAGCCTGAGTGTGCAGCCCCAACAATGGAAAGCACTATAAAACTGCTTAATAATTAATGATTTGGGGAATAACTTAAGACTTGTGTTAATCTCACAAAGAAAATGTCTGGGTGACATTTTACATCAAATGAGAGATTTAGTTTCAAGAAAACAAAGTAATTATTTTTTTATAACCATTCTTTTTTATTGTAGCATTATTTAAATTATAAATCTACTCTTTGGTTAAATATATAAAAGTTATTCCAATTATTATTCAAATCAAAATGTTTCACAGATATTAGGGAGAGTTTTGTTGATTCGGTTACATGTTGTTTGTCCCATTTCCTTATTTTGGACTACTGTGTTGATTGCATTATTTATTTTTAAAATATTATTAAAACCTATTTTTCAATGTTTCTTAATATTTTATAATATAATATAATATGATATGATTTAATATGATATAAAGTAATATAATATAACATAATATGATATGATATAATATAATATAAAATTTATATTATATTATATTATATTATATTATATTATATTATATTATATTATATTATATTATATTATATTGAAAATTCTGAATGCTCTTGGCCAAATAGTGAAACAGATAATGACTTGTAATAAAAAATATATATATATTTTATCAGATAATATAATCTTGTAAGTCTGTTTCAACAGATTCAAAATCAATTATATTGATTTCATAAAACAGAAGTCAATAAAATAGCCACATTTTAAACCCAGGACAAAAAATGTCTTATGTTGCACAAGTATATTTTTGACAACAGCTACTGTATGGATCAAAATTACAGAGTTTTTTTTTCATGCCAAAAATCAATAAAATAATAAGAAAATATTATGTTCCATGAAGACATTTTGTACATTTTCTACTGGAGACATATCAAACTTACTTTTGTTTAGTAAAATGATTTGCTGAACATTTAATCTAGGCAGTATTGACCTTATTCTTTAATGCTGAAGTGGGATACATTTTTAAATTGTTTTAAAACTTCCGATTCAGTCACCGCTGGGAGATATGACTAGGAATAATAAACTGCAGAAAACAACCAAACTACTTGTTCTACAAACAAGTGTGAGCATGATTATATAAACAAAGCAGAATCAAATAATAAGAAAATATCAGTTTGCAACATCAAGCAGTATAACAAGCTGTTTTTAATGTCTAAAAATAATTGGAAGTGAATGAGACTGGAAGTCTAAAGCCAAAAAGATTCAAATTGCTGTGTCCGCTCGTATGTGAAGAATAACATTAATCGATTGCTTGCTTTATTTTTTTTAGTTTGATGTATTATTAATTTCACTTCATGTAGCCAGGATTTGCTTGTAAATAAGTGTTTATTTTCTTAATAGATATAAAATCCAAATAAGCTTACAAAACAACCTACAACAACCTAATCCACCAATCAGAACCTATGGAAATGCATTACTATGATAAGTAAGAAGTTGGATCCACTCACATGCTGCACAGGAGACCTCATCACTTCCATCAAGACAGTCATTTTTTCCATCGCAAACAAAATCCTGCATGATGCAGGCGCCGTTGCCACACCTCACCTGTGCTCTGCCACAGTCTATGGGAAAATTAAGCAAAACAAGGGTAAGTATCCTTCAAGAAAATGTCATAACTTCTTAACCATTTCTTTGAGCAAATATGGTGCATATTTAAATGCATTATGTTGCATTTAAACAGACTTTCTTTGTTTTCAAATAAAGTCCAAAAAAGCCTTGCAAGTGGTCCAGGCGCACATAATTTTTCGTAATATCACTTTTATGGCAAAGAAAATGTTCTTTTCATTGTTTTTAAAATGGAATAATTAATAACAATTAAATTAGACTGAGGAAAAAAAGGATTCTATATGTGCAAGTATAATTGTTTTTATTATTTTTATTTTAAAATACAGCTACACACATATATAGAAACAAAACTATACAAACAATTTGTTACATAGGTATTTGTGTCATATACACATTATCTTTTATCTAAATAATAATAATAATAAAAAAAAAACTGCTCAAATGTATGCATGCCTATGTGTTTTTATACATAGACACTCACCGGCCACTTTATAAGATACATGTGTCTAACTGCTCGTTAACACAAATTTCTAATCAGCCAATCACATGGCAGCAACTCAATTCATTTAGGCAAGTAGACATGGTCAAGACAGTGTGCTGCAGTTCAAACTGAGCATCAGAATGGGGAAGAACAGTGATTTAAGTGACTTTGAAAGTGGCATGGTTGTTGGTGCCAGATGGTCTGGTCTGAGTATTTCAGAAAGTGCTGTTCTACTGGAATTTTCATACAAAACCAACTCTAGAGTTTACAAAAAAAATAGTTTAAACAAAGAGAAAATATCCAGTGAGTGGCAGTTCAGTGGTCACAAATGCCTTGTTGATGCCAGAGGTCAGAGAAGAATGGCCAGACTGGTCCGAGCTGATAGAAAGGCAACAGTAGTTCAAATAACCACTCATTACAACTGAGGAAGGCAGAAGAGCATATCTGAATGGCAATTCAGCAGGATAACGTACCATGTTATAAAGCCCAAATCATTTCAGACAGTTTTCTTGAACATGACAATGAGTTCACTGTACTCAAATAGCCTCCACACTCACCACATCTCAATCCAATAGAGCACCTTCGGGATGTGGTGGAACGGGAGATTTGCATCATAAATCTGCAGCCGACAAATCTGCAACTGCAGATGCTATTATGTCAATATGGACCAAAATCTTTGAGGAATATTTGAAGTACCTTGTTATATCTATGCTATGAAGATTTAAGGCAGTTCAGAATACAAAATTGGTCCAAACCAGCACTAGTAAGGTGTGCCTAATAAAGTGGCCGGTGAGTAATAAAAATACACAATAAACAAATTACATTTTAAAAACAAATACTATTTTGTGTGCGTTTAAGCAGAATGAATTTTTGCCTATCACTATTATAAAAAAAAAAGTGGTTTAGTATATGTGGTTTAGCTTTGTTTATATACGCAATGTTCAAAAACATCATGTAAACAAACTTTTATTTTGGATGCGATTCATCTTTTAACAGCACTAAAACATATTCAATAAAATACTTACCACAGTCTTTCTCATCACTGTTATCGCCGCAGTCATTCGCTCTGTCACAAACAAAGAACTGAGGCCTACAGAGGCCATTGCTGCAAGTGAACTGATCCTCATTACACTCTGAAGAAACACACAAAACACAATTAAACAGTGTGTTGATGCAGTTCACCAACTACTTTTAAGGCAAGCGATTAGAATGCAGAATTCATTTTTAAGAGACCTATGATGAAAATCCTCTTTTAGAAGCTGTTTGGACAGAACCCTGTGTACTGTAGGTATAGTTTGTCCACAGTCATATTGGGGTGATATAAAGACAAGTCTTTTTAAAATTTTTTTATTTTCTGACGTTAAAACCTATAACTATATATATAGCTACATATACATATACATATATATATATATATATATATATATATATATATATATATATATATATATATATAACTTCTTCACACATATACACAAACATAGACAGCACCAAACAAACAAACACACACACACACACACTGTTAGGCCCTTGCAATATGCGTTTAACTGTGAGAGCTCGCACTGAGTGAAGCAAAAAAAAAAAAAAATTAAATTAAATAAAACACGAAAAAAAGAAGCACAAAGGAACTGGGATTAAAAGATCTGTTCAGCTCTCTGTGATCATCAATCATCATCAAATGTAATCAAGAATGAGTTTTACAAAAATGAAGGAGTTTACAATTTTACCAATCAGCTGATGAAAACAACCAGTACATCTATACATCAAGGAATATTTATTATTTATTGCCACATCAGCAACTTATGGCTATTTCGTGGCAAAATGAATATACATAAAATATTACATGATAAAAACAAATTCGTATTACAATAAAAAGTTACTTGGATAGAAATAAAATTCACACAAAAATATACTCAAAGTTAAATATGATTTTTCAGTTAAATTTTTGATAAATTATTACCTTTATTATTATTACCTTTTTAAAAATGTACATAAAAGTACTCTTTAAAAAAAAATTGTCTAGCAGTATTAAAACTTCCACATTCCAACAAAATATGTTTTATGGTAAGAGCAGTCTGTCAGTTATTACATATACGTGGTGCTTTGTTATTCAGTAAATATAAATCTGTTAACCTAGAAAATCCAATTCGACATCTAGTATACACAGTTTGATCATATCTGGTCTCAAAATTATAATTTGCTGTGTGTCTTTCATTTGTTTTCAGGTTAATTTCATGTAGGGCGAAGCAATGGCGCAGTAGGTAGAGCTGTCGCCTCACAGCAAGGTCACTGCGTCGCTGGTTTGATCCTCGGCTCAGTTGGCGTTTCTGTGTGGAGTTTGCATGTTCTCCCTGCGTTCGCATGGGTTTCCTCCGGGTGCTCCGGTTTCGCCCACAGTCCAAAGACATGCAGTACAGGTGAATTGGGAAGGCTAAATTGTCCGTAGTGTGTGAGTGTGTGTGAATGAGTGTGTGTGGATGTTTCCCAGAGATGGGTTGCGGCTGGAAGGGCATCCACTGCGTAAAAACATGCTGGATAAGTTGGGGGTTCATTCTGCTGTGGCGACCTCAGATTAATAAAAGGACTAAGCCGACAAGAAAATGAATGAATAATTTCATGTAATTTATTATATATGCAGTTGTCCCATTTTCTTTGCAATGTTTCGTTTATATACAAATTAATTGTAGGTTTCAAGTCCTCAGGAGGAATTAAACATTGACACTTTCAAGGATTTCAAGAGCCTGTTTTTAGATCAAGGAATAAAAATCAACAAAAAATTATTAAAATCTAATTATTCACTTTGCCTGATGAGATCCCTCTCGTGTTTTGATTGCAAGTTTGTAAATTCGTCTTCCTGTCATTCCAAATCAATATCCTGTTTGATGGGGCTAATCAAAATTCAGATTCATAAATTGAAAGGTTTAATTTAGTCTGAGCAAAAATGCTGCCAGGGATGAGACTTACTGCAATTTTTCTCATCGCTCATGTCTTGGCAGTCGTTCCAGCCGTCGCAGAGCTGCTCTTTTCTGATACAATAGCCTGAACTGCAAGCAAACTGACCAGGGCAAGCTGGAGATAACATCAGTGAGGGTGAAAACAGGAAAACAGTAAGGATTCAATGCAAAATATATTGTTAATAATGTTAATAATAGATAAGTATAAAAATTGGGATTTATGTTGCAGCAAATTTCAGATTATTTAATAGTGACTTATATTCATTACAACATGGTAGATGGTAATACTGAATCACAAAGCTTACTTACGGTTTACAGGGTCAAATGCGGTGTAAGTGAGCTTGAACCCCTTATCAGTGTAGGATTCATCCGAATGAAACTTTACTTCCAAGACATTAGACTTGCTAGAGATAACAAGTCTACTCTTCTCCCCACAATACCTTTAAAATGGAGAAAATAAAGAATTGCTGGTACAACAAAAGCTAAAGTAATCCTACAGCAAAAAATAATAGCACAACTATACTAGAAATAGAACTGCAAGCAGCAATTAAGGGACCAAGCACAACAGCGGTAGAATGAGGAGCTAAGCAGAGCAGCCACGACAATGATTAGTTAAAGAAATTAAAGGGTTTTGTCATCTGTTACTTAACTCTGATCTAAGGAATCAAGACCAATCTCATGGCAACTAGCAAGCAAACACATCTAAAGCTATATTTGTTTTTTGAAAATCCACTACATATTTTGATCACAAGTTGTTACTGAATTGGATGAACTAAATTGGTCGTAGTGTATAAATGCATGTATAAATGCGAGAGTGTGTGGATGTATAGGGAGCGATTTGTTGCTATTTTCAAACTAGCGCAACAGTAATTTTTATGTTTTGTGCCACGTTGATTAAATAACAAATCTATTTGCGCTACTTTGTGCACTCATGGATGTGCTGGTCTGTGAAGTTGTGTTAAGGTGCAATGCTATTTTGAGAAACGGTGCCATTGACCAACTAACAGCTGGTGTAAAGTTTAGATCAGAGTGTGTTATTTATGTGCCTATGCAGGTCCACACACTAACACATTGCTTAAAACACACAGGATGTACAGCAAAACACAAATATCTGTACATATGAAAAATGTAAAGGATTAAAGTTTTACAAAAATATTATTTTCTACATAAATATAAAAACCACTGCATCCATGCCTTTTTTCCAATTCATTCATGTCAATCTGCAATTGTATAATGTTATTATTAACAGCAGTATTATTTATTATATGCATATTTATAATTGTTTAATAAAAGCAAGTTTAGATTTGTCCACCTGTCAGGTTTGGATATGTACACATCACCATATGGGGCATAAGAATAGAACGTGTGTTTGAAAATAACTCATTTCATGTTCATTTATTTGTTTGCTGGAAATTAGAACTGAATTTAGAAATAGTTTTGAAACAAATATTTGTGCTTAACGAACAAAATTAAATATGTAGGCTAATGGATGTGTTCGTGAAGTGTGTACAACACCATTTCCTTATTCATGAAAGTAAAGGAGTAAAGTAAAGAGTAAAAGCAGAGTAGAGTGAAAATAAAGAGGCTGAATGGAGGAGGCTCGTTTTTTATTCTTGCTCTGCAGTTGATTTAACTGTTTTCTCGCTAGTGAAACGTTCAGTTTTTCCACTTACAAAGTCCGCCATGTAAATAGCAAATGTGCCACGGCGCACACAACTGACTCTTGAAGGGAATGGGAGATAAGGCTCTGATTGGTTCAATGCATGTTATGCTCAAAACACATCCATAACTAAGCCCACACAGAATCTGCGCGTGCAGAATTCCGCAGATTTTCCGCAGAATTACGCAGATTTTTAGCCCATCATTAATTCTGTTCATTTACTTGAGTAAATGTATGTGTATCTCTAAATTTATTCAGTTTTTTTATTAATTACAGTAATATTATAGACTAATATGAAAATGTTCATCTGTTTATACACAATGCAGTCTGTCTTGTAGTAGATATATTACATGAGAGACTTGCTTTGTTTACCAAATAAAGTGAATCTGATTGGATTTGCATTTTAAACATTAAATAAAAGTTAAAAAGGTATTATTTTTTTATTTCACATATTAGGTTTTAGTTATGATACTCCCCAAACAATTCTGCAGAAATCCACAGATTTGTACCACAATTCTAAGCAGAAGTAGCAAAAAACATATACTTAACGTAAACATAACTTATTAAGAGAATAAGCACAACCCTGTTAGACCATGCGCCGGGGCGCAGACCATATTGTTCTGTCCTTAAAATAGCAAAAGTGGATTCGGACACAGCCTTAATGCTTTTGCGCTGTAGACTTTGCACCTAGATCGTTAAAATAGAGCCTTCAAAATTTGCTGTGGTTAATATTTAGACTATCCTTTATATCTGTAAAAAATTTCACAATTTTTATGCAAGTGGTTCTATGAGCTGCCAAAAACTTTAAAAGACGAAGTAGAAGAACAGTAGAATTTGGAAGTTTACAGATTGTCAGAAAAAAAAAAAACAGGAAACTTTCTGCCTGTAGAGATGACAGAACTTACTTTTGACCAAGCACCTCTATGTAGTCTTTGTTACAGTTGTTAGGGTCCACCCCCGGCTCTTTCAAACGGAACATATTGAACTCAATCTTTATGTTTTTGCCCTCAGGAACCTGCAGAATACACAAGATGATCTTCGGAATTCTTTTCAAAAAGTTAAACAACCTAATAAGAATTTCAAAGAAGACATGACCAATATTTGAGAGTTTGCAACTTACAAATATCCAGAACTTCTGCATGTTCAGTTTTAAAAATAAGCTTTCAGACAGAAATTTGTTCCCTTTAAATTTTTGAGTTGGTAAGATTTTAAATGAATGTTGATATTTTTTTGTTTAGTATATTTGCTCCTAAAGACATTACTGTCACTGTAATATGCCATTACTTCATTATAATATCTTCATCACATCACAAAGTCATACTTTTGGAAAACTAAAATGTTTTATAATGTTGCACAAAAAGATCTAAGAGTATAATAAATGAAGAAATATTAACCCAAATGTTTGCTAAATAGTCAATAAAATCTTTCTGTTGATAAGGGACACTTAAACGTCATTGTGAGGCTTACTTTAATATTCCAGCTGCAATCCACCGAGGGAGGATAGAAACTTGGAAAATAAGGAGAAGTAAACTCTCCTGTACTATCAGTCAAACTTTGCCCACACCTCCCAGCTAGAAATGAATATGGGGGAGAAAATGAGAAGAACAAGAAGAAGAACAATAACAAAAACAGACATTAATAAACTGGCATGAAACATTTTCTAGTCCTTTTAACATTCAGGTTTCAAGATTTAAGTCAAATAACTGCGTTCAAAGACTTAACTGAACATAGATGATGACTTTATATAAAAAAGCCGATCACTGGTTTTACCTGGAGTAATGGGAATTGCATTGTAAGTTGCTCTGAATCCTGGTTTCCGGACTTCATCTGTAACCAGGTTGACAAGCATAAGATTACCAGAAGAAACCACCTCAAGAGGATTTGTAGGTGGACGAAGACCACACTGTCTGTAATGGAAAGAGCCAACAGCATTAAACAGCATCCTTTGCTTTAAATACCTCCTTTAGTGTGCAAAGTTTAGGTTTTTTATAATTTATAAATCCCTGAGTCTACTCTAAAGGGAATTTCAGAACTGCTTTGAATGCTTCGACTGGAGACCTGGGTTTTCTTAAACAAAAAAGTTGCATTAGTAGTTTGTTTTCACCGTCTAATGGTGTGCATTTGATAGTTGGTGCATAAGAGAACTTAGTTAAATACTTATGTAACCCAGCTTTCTGTGTGCGCACTTTAATCAGGAAACTACATGTCAGAGATTACTCTGACTAGTCTAAAAAATACATGCAAATGTTTTGTGTTGTTGCTCTTGTAACTGAAATGATCTAAAGGCACTGCCCTCTTATGGAAAGGGAAAGGTTGAATTTAAAGCGTCAAATGAAAAGTTTACTGTAAAAAAAGAATCTTGCTGCCTTTCATTTTTGTAGTAGATTAAAATTAAGTTGTCATCTCAACGTATGTCAATCAAATTGACTGAAAATATGAAGTTATTTAACGCACTATTAACTTTTATATAACTTAAAAAAAAAAGATTTATTTATTAAAAGTTAAAACAACATATAAATATTTGTTGTGACATTTTGTCATGACATTTTTTATAGTGTAGAGCTAGGTGATTATTCTTTTCTTCTATGTTGTGTATCTTTTATTGCTTACATTTTGAGCACTAAATGTCCCCACAAGAATAGCAATACCAGAAAAATTTTGAAAATGTAAAAAATACTGAGTGTTTCCTGTGAGGGTTGGGGATAGAATATACAGTCTGTAGAGTATATAAAAACAACTAAAACATTTATGGAAAGTCACCATAAAGTGATATATATAATATATATAATAATATAATATATATATATATATATATATATATATATATATACACATTCATACATATATATACATACATACACACACACACACACATATATATATATATATATATATATATATATATATATATATATATATATATATATATATATATATATATATATATATATATATATATACACACATACATACATACATACATACATACATACATACATATATATATATATATATATATATATATATATATATATATATATATATATATATATATACACATACATATAAACATTTGTAACAATTGTCATGTCAATAAAGCATTTATTGAATTGAATTGAATAGAGAGAGAGAGAGAGAGAGAGAGAGAGAGAGAGAGAGAGAGAGAGAGAGAGAGAGAGAGAGAGAGAGAGAGAGAGAGAGAGAGAGAGTTTGTCTAAAATAAAACAATGTCATTTGAGTTTTCATTTTTGAACTATGTCTTTAACTCTGTATATTCCTCTAAACAATACTGGATGTTGTTATGATCATCTAGATCAGTGGTTCTCAAACTGTAGTGGTACGCGGGCTTCCTCCAAGTGGTACGCGGAGGAACCGCTGAATAATGAAAGAAACAATTAACACTTTTAATCCTTTAATGCGTAATATAACATAGATGTGATCAGCAGTGGCTGTTTTGTGAAGCGTACGATCACAACACTGTGCTTAGAGTGTTTATTTTAGTGCATTGTGTCATAAGCTGCTGAAAATCAGTTTCCGAAGTTTAAGAATTGATTCTGAAGCGTGATTTGACTGACATGAAAAGTAGCCAATCACAGTCTACCTTGTCTAGTTGCGTGAAACGTAAGGGCGGGACAAATGCTTTCTGTGTTGCAGAGACAGAAAAAACAATTTAAAAACAAATGTTTTGTTGGAATAATGCTTCTCGGATGTTTTCACTATAGAGATGTCTAGCATAGTAATTTAACCGCGGACATATTTCCTGCCTTTTTGATGATCTACATACACGTTTTGGTTTCGCTTTCCGACAGCCAGTCGACTCGCCTCTGACCTGTCACTCCTCTAAATACATTCTGAATGGCGGCGCGGGAATGGAGGTATTGCGCAATTACTAATTTCTGCAAATGTGGCGAGTGCTTTATTTTAACACGACAGCGCAGTCATGTACGCAAATCGCTAAAACAGATATGCGAGCTCTTAAATATGCTTTTTTCAAATGAACTGCAAGTGCTCTCATGATCGCCTGTGTGCTCAGATTGAATATAATCGCGATCTATTCACTATTAAAGTAGACATTATTTATCTTTGCTCCTTGACTAAATTTAGTCAAAAGTATTCAAAGTTATCAAGTATTTAGAATTAGATTGATGCATAATCGATGACAATGCTAATGGTCTTCTTATTTGGCTGTATTGTGAAGTGAAACTTACTTTTAGCAAAGGTGGAATTTTTTTTGTTTCTTTACGACAAAAGAATTATGCTGGAAATGTTTCTGGATGAGGTATTTGTGTGATTTACACATTTAGCTGTATTCTGATCTGTCTTAAAGCATTACAGGTCAAAGCAATCCGTTGTTACTTGTTTATTTATCAAAATTAACAATAAGACTCTTAAAGCACTGCTTTGATAAATGTAGTGTTGTCACATTTTAAATACCTCAAGTAAAATGAAGCCATTTGTTTTATTTTTTTACTGACAGTGTACTTGTATTTTTTTTAAAGTTTCTATTTTAGATTAAGATCAAGTGTAAAATAAAATCTACATGTGATGTACAGCTATTTAAGAAACAAATTTGCCATATTGTAAAGAAAAATAGTGTAACAAATGTAAATAAAAGGCTAAATTTAAATCTTTTTACCATATACTTTAATTTAACCTTTCAAAGCTTGAAAATATCGTTTAAAAAATGGGCAAAAAGTGTCTCTATGGCCTTTAAGATTATGTGGTAGTTTTACCAGTGCTTTTGAAAAATATTAATTGTCATGAAAGGAAAAATTTACCATACTTCCTTTGTTAGTGCAAATTCCTATACATGTAACTTTGGGATTTAAGCAATTAAACCATTCAATCAGGTTTAAACTTAAAAAAAGTGATTTCATAATAAAAATCTGATTTTTTTTTTCAAAAGTAACCAACTAGTACTTTTTAAAAGAGTACTTTTTAAAATAGTACTTTTAGCTAATATTAGTATTATTTACTAAAATTTGTGTTATTTTAGCAGTGTAATAGTAATTTTACTTGAGTACAAAAAAGATATCACAAGCATTTAGTGCAGGTTTATTATAATAATAATAATAATATATGATTAATACATATTATTATTAATCGTTTTTATTTGTATCTATTCGTATGCAGTGTTTTATGGGTTGCTGAGAATACATTTCAGGTCTTCAATACATAACATGTCAGTCTTGAAAAAAAAATTAGGTGCTGGAAAAAGTGCTTAAAATTCCTTGATTTTCATTAGGCTGTGCCTGTATGAACCCGGTCATATGTACATTTAACATATATTTCAAGATTTGTCTGAAAGTGTAGGAATATGACATAGAGCCTATATTCATAAGGTCCAAGCAACATCTCCAGCTTTTGATGAATAGGCTACTATGAATACTTGAGATTTAAGTACAGCAGTTTTCTTTTTACTTTTTAAGAACAGGTAATTTTTAATGAACTTTTAAAAGCACATTTTAACTAAAACTTTTTTTTTTTAATCTGCAAGCACAGTTAATGTTCAGACTATTAAAAATGTTTAAAGTGATTGACAATAATACATATTCTTAATAATAGGAATTAATTTGCATCATTTTTAAACTGTGCACACCTGTAGCTGCTTAATTAGGCCTACGACGCTATTTTTTAATACTGGTTAAAAAATAGGGTCGTAAGGTGGTACTTGGAGAGACAATTTTTTTCTAAGGTGGTACTGGTGAAAAAAGTTTGAGAACCACTGATCTAGAAGTAGTGTGTGAAAGGATCATCTCACTTTGTGATGGCACGAGAGCGGTCAGGACTTAGAGAGTCATAAATCGCCACAAAGTCATTGTAACAGTCATCCTCGATGTTGAAGGTCTTGAACTTGACAATGATGGCGGAGCCTTTATTGGCGCGGATCTGCCACTGGCATCGGGAGTAAGCTGGGTATGACTTAGGGTTTCCTGGAGACGAGAACTCTTTGGTGGTGGGGTCAGCGGTGAGAGAGAAAAAGCAGTTTTCTGACAACAGAAAGAAAAAAAAATTAGAAATGCAGAATCTTACAGTGTATTGGTTTCATGCTTGTTAATTTAAACTAGCTGAGGTATTCAGCAAACGAGAACTTGTGTGTTTGCATTTGCCTGAATGAGCAGCACACAACAGGTTAAAAAATGCACAATCTTTAATAAAAATTTAAATACTTTGCATTTTAACCCTCACATGTGGATCTGCTTTGATCGAAAAAATGTTTAAACTCAGTTTTTAGTAATGGAATAGAACTTTGAATATGTTTTAAGACCCTAAAATACACATTATTTTAATAATGTTTAATTAATTTCATTTCATTTCTAAAAAAAAATTTGCATGTTTTTATTAAATTTTCAAATAGCAAAAGATTTACGTAAAATTCAGCTCATACTAGAGCTAGGCGATATGGCAAAAATGCAATCTCAATAATTATTTTCTATATTGAACGATAAAGATATATATTACGATATAAGTTTTATTGCTTCCAGATTTCAAAGAGCACCCCAACAATGAAGGCGGATACTGCTAGCGGGAAAGCGAAATGAGCGAACTAAACAATTCTGGGTGCTGTAAACAATACAATACATGCTGTAAACAATACAGCATGACCTATTTTCGGCTGATAATTTCCAGCGGCCAAAAATTGAAAATTGAAAAGTGCATCTCTAATATCAGCACAATTAAAGATTCCTGTTGTTTCATATTTCTGATGTGTGATTGGCCCTTACTGTAGGATCAATATAGAGTAAAAATATCCAGAGCTTATCATCATGATCGACAAATTTTATCATGATTCAATATGATATTGTGTATCAGCCCAGCTCTAGCTCATTCTGATTCAAGAAAAGTTGCTGCTCAGACATATAATATAGATCAGTGTACAGACATGGGTAAAAAGAATTTACATTATAAAGTAAGCCAAATGTAATATTAAAAATCTAATTAAAATTAAAAAAGCATGCAATTTTTTAACCATATTATGTATTATTATATTAAATTATATTACATTACAATATTCTATATTACATTACATTAGTCATTCATTCACAAACCCACACCAGCACAGGGAGAACATGCAAACTCCACACAGAAATGCCAACTGACCCAGCCAGAGCTCAAACGACAGCGGAACACCCTATATTATATTATATTATATTATATTATATCATATTATGTTATGGGCGAGGCAATGGCGCAGTAGGTAGTGCTGTCGTCTCACAGCAAGAAGGTCGCTGGGTCGAACCTTGGCTCAGTTGCCTTTTCTGTGTGGAGTTTGCATGTTCTCCCTGCCTTCGCGTGGGTTTCCTCCAGGTGCTCCGGTTTCCCCCACAGTCCAAAGACATGCGGGACAGGTGAATTGGGTAGGCTAAATTGTCCGTAGTGTATGAGTGTGTGTGAATGTGTGTGTGGATGTTTCCCAGAGATGGGTTGCAGCTAGAAGGGCATCCGCTGCGTAAAAAACTTGCTGGATAAGTTGGTGGTTCTTTCCGCTGTGGCGACCCCAGATTAATAAAGGGACTAAGCCGACAAGAAAATGAATGAATGAATATTATATTATATTATATTATATTATATTATATTATATTATATTATATTATATTATATTATATTATATTATATTATATTATATTATATTATATTATATTATATTATTCATACATGTATACATTATATAAAAAGACAAATATTTTACTCTTTATTCTGGTGAGATGAGCTGACTCTTTGCCATCTTTTTCAGTAATCTAATTTATGTATTTATGCAAAGAGAAATCTGAAGACAGGTCTTGTAATTGCTGCTCAGCAAGTAAAAAGATCTTTCGTGTCCACAAACTGCCTGAGTAAAGTGATAAATGGATTTTTGGACAGGATGGAGGTCAGCGGACATGTACATCAACTGGAAAACAAGACTGTTGTTGCTTTTTACCTTCCCTTTTTGACATACAGCACTTCAAGAAAAGAACGGGAAGTCAATTTCTAAGTCAGGAACTGACATGGACCATAGAAATTAAACATTGTATTGAAAATTGGGTAAATATCCACAACTAAACTTTCTTAAATGGTTGCGTTTAAGTTTATTATTACCACTATTTCCAAGAACCCTCACTTCACTTCTCATGACAGCAGCTCAATACAAACTCAAACCAGTTTTTATTTAAACATTATTATATGTAAATATACTTCGGGTTTTCTGGAGTGTGCTGTTGAGGAGAGGTTGGTTTGCTCTTTTTTTTTATGTAGTTTACTCAATATAATCCTTATTTATTATTTATTATGATGACTGCACTGTGACTATGAGGAGCAAATATGCTCTCTCTTTGGCAGTCATTCCACTTGGGCTTTTTGGGAAAAAGAAAGAAAAAAAAAAAAAAACCTTTATTCAAAAACTCCAAAAAAAAACTTCAAAGTCTTTATAGTTGGTTTTATGAAGCGTTCAATTAAATCTCAAGTGGACAACACTAGTACATACCGGTGTAATTAAGCTCTAAAACATGTTCAGTTAATCTATTTTGCTTGACAAAAATTGCATTAGTTCAGATTGCTTTTGTTGGTTGTTTATATATATATATCACCTTAAAATTATAATTGTTTATATACATCAACTTAAAATTATAAGGTTCTATCTGACATAAAAAATTATATATATATATATATATATATATATATATATATATATATATATATATATATATATATATATATATATATATATATATATATATACTTATTATTATTTTTTATTATTATTTTAAAAAATATTTTAAAAATGTAAAAATTTAAAAACAATTACATATATATATGTGAATGTTATATGTAAATGTAATATTTTTTATATTTTTTTAATATATAATTTTATTTTTATTTAAGAAAACAAAACAAAAAAAAAACTCCCCTGCTTGTCATGAGAAGTGTAAACGAAGGTTATCTGAATTGATCAATTGGCTATGATGTTTGTCTTTGGATGGTGAGAGGAAACCAGGGAACCCAGGGGAAACCCACGCGAACACAGGGGAACATGCAAACTGCACACAAAAATGTCAACCGGCCCGGCAGGAGGTTGGAGCAGCGGCATTGTTGCTGTAAGGCAACAGTGCTAGCCACTCGTCCGCCGTGTCGCCCTATCGGGGAAAAAAAATGGAAGGGGTGGAAGGGGGAAAACTTCAAGATGAAGATAACTGGAGTGAAAAGCTCTGGTTATTAATAATGCGTCCGTAATTATCTGACAGGGCAGATTACGGAGCTAATGTGGTGCCAGTCGTGTTGATCATAAGCATGTGATCCTCTCGAAATTAGTTTATAAATAAACTGCACTTTGTACCTTTACTTCAGAACTTGAAAACAATCTGCATTGTGTGCAAATATATGTTAACCCTAAAGCCACAATGAAAAATCTCCAAGCATTTGCAGTTTAATTGGGATAATTTTAGACATTAGTAGAAGCATGCTGTTGAAGAGGTTTGTGGTTGAAAAACAGGTTTTTGAGATCCCTGTGCTGTTGTGCTCAGCAAGGTAAGTGGAAGAGAAAGCGAGCACCAGATAGAGTGAGCGTGAGATGGAGGTGGGCAGGCATTTTTCAGTGAGTGACAGGAGAGAGCACGGCAACCCAGGTGGAAAATTACAGTGCAGCGGTGACTGAAATGGGACACACTTTACTCACTAGAGTTGGGGTCCCTGGCCATCCGAGGGTCTGTGGCTGCAGAGAGAAAAAAAAAAGAGAGAGAAAATGATGCATGTTGTACTTTTTTCTGTCCTCTTTCCTTCCATTTTCCACAGGCCTGTCAGACATTCTGTTCCTCCTCTTCCAGCACTCACCTTGGCTCAGACGTTCACAAATAGCGGTCTCTCACCTCACTACTGCGACATGAGTCTCCGTACAGAGATATCATTTTAAACAGGGCACTGAGGTGTCACTCAGGCCTGCAGCTTTTGTGGATTCAATGCAAATAGGGACTGGAGAAGGACAGACAGTAACAGCTTTTTTTTTCTCCCAGAAACAAAGAATTACACTGTTGCATTGAGACTCACAATTGAGGCAAGTCTATCGTTATTTAGAAGGTTATTAAAAAGCACCAGTGCTCCTTAAGGGGCTCTTTCATGCATTTTTTATCATCGTGTTTTCACTGAAGTTCATTTATATACATGACGTTTTGCTTCAGAAACGCTCTTAATGTAGTTTTCTCAATATAATCGTAATTTACTCATCCTAAAACGACTGCACTGTGACTACGAGGAGCAAATATGCTCTCTCTTTATAA